ACACTTCGTTCTTGACTTTTCATCTCACTACTCCGTCTCCCATGTGATGTTCATATACAATTAAAATTTGTAAAACTTATCATGTGGGGTTATCCGGTCCTTTTATTCCTGTTGAAGTGTGTATATATATGTATGAAGTATATAGATAGATAATACTATTATCTATTATATATAGACATATATGTATATATACACATTATATATATATATATATATGTGTGTCTCTTCCTTGTGATTCATCAGATACCATTTGTTGTTCTTTTCGCAGTTTAATCAGAATTCGGCAGGCAACAGGAATCTACTCTTGCAATTTGCCTTTAGGAGCTGTTTGTTCAATTTGTTCAACACTAAGATGTTGTCCCCAGAGTCTTCTCGCCTTGTGCAGCCCTCAGGTTGTGGCTGCATTTCTTTCGTGTCTTAGCTGGGTTTGTGCGGAGAATCACAGGATAAGGCTTTCCAGATTTGGCCAATCGATGTTAGCGGAATACCATTTCATTCAAGAGACATGGACCTATCGACGCAGCATTGTGTAGCAGAGTCCGATTTTACAGTGCAAAGAGGATTGCATGACATTGCAATAGTATTGGGTTGCTTGAGACAGAGCAGTGTTTGGATGTGCCAAGCTAAGTCCTTTACTTCCTGCCTTCACGTCAAGCCTCAGAAGGAGCGCCCGGATCTCTGCTCCGTAGCTTGACCGCTGAATATTCTAGGGTTGATAGAAGCTGGTGCATTCTCTTCAATCAGCGGCCGTGCAGACAATGCACAAACAATGGCTGGGAAGTCCCAGATTCCTTTCGTCTGCAGGATACAGAGTGGGGGTGGAGGCAAGGCAAATGTTTGCATGTCGGACTGATTGGTAGTACCACAGAAACGATGCAATTGTAATCAATTGTATTAGCAGCGACATCCGTTCTTTTGCATCATGTTTACTTTTTGTGGCCTGGCGCGCCTTGAGGATGTGTCACTCGCAAGGCGGTAGTGTGCGCATCTCAGGGAAGATTGTGGCCGTGCCACAACATGGTCATGTTCGCAACATGGTGATGTTTGCGAACATGGTGAGTCCAATGGCCTCCAACCTACTAGCGATGGCCTCCAACATGCTGAGTCCAATGGTTGCTGGATTGAGAAGGCTTTTGTGATGAGGTCTGACCCCACAGCTTTGCTGGAAGCTGTGCGGGAAGGCGCTACCCTGCATTCGCATACAGAAGTTCTACAGTGCTGCGAACAGGGTGCACGTTTGTTCTAGTAGTGTATATTGAACTTGAAGCATAGGGGTGCCACTATGACAGGGATCTGGCACCACAACCAAAGTTTCAACACCTGTAGTCTTGCTTGAGAGGCCCCCTTTGCACAACTGTTGCCATGTACTATATATTGTAATCTATAAGGTTTAGACCTTGAAGTAGCCAAGCCTCTACTGGGTCTCAGATAATGCTCACGTTGCCCATGCTGAATCTGTGAAAGATGGTTGGTGCGATGGTGTGCTGCTGTGCCGTGCGGATACGGGTGTTTCTTCACCCACCGCAATTGTCTGCCAGATCTCACTGAGAAAGGCACTTTGCAGCATTGGCAGGCTCGCATGTTTGAGCTTTCGCACAGTTAATCTGATTGTCAATTGTCTAGAACCATGCCGTCTCTAGTTAACCTGCGCAGCCAGACCTTTTTAATGTTTTTTCAACAGCGCAGGCAGCTGCTGACGCCCTTGCAAAGTCCCTGGGCGAAGGACGTCACTGTTGGGTGGTTGAGTGGCCGTGCAGAAAGAAAGCTCAGAAGAGGTCAAAGTCACACACACACACAATCATGCATCGTGGACACATAGACTCTGTCAATCTTTAATTCAGCGCTTGTTTGCGGATCACTAAGTAGCTCTTGTCCGAGTAGAGTAGATGAAGGTCAATCTGCATCTTGCAGGCAAAGAGGAGGCAGAGTTGATTCTCGCCAA